ATTATTATTATTATTAAATAATAATAATAAATTATTATTATTGTTGTTATTATTATTGTTGTTATTATTAGTATTATTATTATTGTTGTTGTTATTATTATTGCTATTATTATTTTTATTAATATTAATATTAATATTAATATTAATATAATAATATTATTATTATTATTATGGATCTTCTTCTATGTGAACAACCAAACACAGTAATATAATATTCCTAGGAATTTAAAAACGATTCATGTATGAAACCAAACACAGTAATGTATTATTCTTATGAATCATATTACTCTCTATCACTTTCCTGAGAATATGATTTCTATTGATTCCTGCATACCAAATGCCCCCAAAAAGCGTGTTGTGCCATTGAAGAAAAGTGGAGGCCCAAGCTAGCCCAACAGGCCTTGACCAATTTGCATTTTTATACAGGAGAAAGGAGATAAATACATGAATATAAATTTTTATCTTTTATTCTTATTTGATATTTTTTTAATTAAATAATTATATTAGTTAAACAAATATTAATTAAAAATAAAAAAATAAAAATTTAAACTCATATATTTTAAAAATAAGTTTAATAATTTTTTCTTTTACATATATAAAAATTAAAAATAAAAAACAGACCATGTCCTTAAGCGCAGCTTGGCCTAAGGACTTGGTTGGCTCGGGTAATTATGCAGACTAGACCATGCCCGCAACGACTTATATCTCTATTTGGTATGATATCGTTTGTTTTTAGCCTGAGCTCACACAACTTTATTTTTGGGCTTCACCCTAAAAGATCTCATATCATTAAGAGGCAGTGTCTTTCTTTATGAGTCATCGCTTATGACCTTCCTCAGACGATGTAGATTACACAAATTACCTCATCTTTGTCCTTTTACTTTAACGAATTGATGACTATTACAATCACCTCTTTTAGGCCCAATGCCCTAGTTCTGACTAGGTATAAATTAGAACATCTCCATGTAATGCTATAATTGATGTACTAAGTATAAATTTAACATTTAAATACAAAAAATACTATCTAATATAATATTATTTGTTGTGCCAAATTTCTCATATGCTATATTTCATAACAAATTTTTCATCAAATATAGCATAAAAGAAATTTAACATTTCATTATTATTGGTTAAAATGTTTACTTTTTTATGTAATCATTATAATTTTTACATTTTTTTATTATTTTAAAAGTAAAAATTTACTTTTATAACTAATAAAAATTTAATTATTATGAAAAAAAATAGATTTAACATTTCAAATAGCGTTATGTATTGAAATAAAAATGAAAATAACATAACACATCACACTTTTTAATACTAAATATACAATTGATATTAATATTTGTATTGGAGATGGTATTACCTATCGCGACTAACATATGTCTAGTCTGCTAGTTAACCAGTGAATGACAAATTAATGACCAGAGTTGATCAGCATAATCATATATTGGCTAAAAGATTACAGTTTTAAAAGGTATATATACAGATGCTAAATAAAAGAATGGGATCAGATTCACATTATCCCACCTGATCAAACAAACCATTATCTTATATACTATTATTATTCATGGCAGAACGACCCATAAAGAGAGTGGGCTTCCATTATGGCAACTTGCATGTTCTCTGGTGGCGTCCAATGGCGTTTCCTTTGATTAATAAACCAGTTGTTTATCTGCTTCTGATCCAACCCCGTCAACTCAGACAATGCAGCCTTGTCCCCTTCCTGTTTATATATCAATAACAAAGTCATATACCCCGTTTATGTTACACATACTATACATATATACACACACACACATATAAATATTTTTTAAGATTTGAACAAAATGGTCCAAATTCTATTTTTCATATTGCATGGAAAAAAATAAAATACGTAATGAATAATAGTGCTTCAATAGTGTCTTCAATAATTACTATATATAAGTTAATAATATTGCAATTACCAACAAAACCAGTATTAATATTCATGAAATATATATTTTTTTCTCTTTCAATGATATATGAAAACTAATACATATATATAAAAAATATACATATATATATATATATATATATTCACCGTTGGGTATGGCCATTTGTAGTGAAGAGTCCACCAATCAAGCAGTATTTGCCTTGCTTCTTTTGGTAGCTTTCCCTTCTTCTTCTTCTTAGAGAACTCATGCTTGAGAGTGCTAATATAACCACTGTATTTCCGCAAGAGCTTGTCCTTGAGCTCTCGGTCTTCGTTCGCAAACTGCCGAGACATGATATCCACCACCTGTATCTCCCCTCCGCTTAGCTTCAAGCTTGACGTGCAAATGTATCGTTCGCAATAACATCCATCAACAACGATCATTTAGACCCCAATAAATAATAGGAGATTTATTATCCGAGCGTAAATGATACTAAAATTATATAAAAATCAACCAGTATACCAAATCTTAAAAGTTTAAATACAGGCATTAATATTTTTAAGTTACTTTGTTTTTTAAGCGCTTACTGTTGTATATTGATCCTCCACAAAGCAAAGTAATACCAAAGTCGATAAACCCAAATAGTATATCAAACTGCCCTAGGTAAGATATAGAGGGTTAATTTTCTTTGGTCCTGCATTAGAACACACAAAAGTATTGTGTGTGTAACAACAGTGTAACACGTCATTTGTTTTATAATTTATATAAGAATGACCTTAACTATGTATACATCATTGTAACTATTGCGTTACACTTATCCTTTTATTAAGATATTACACGTAAATATCATATTTAATTTTTTTTACTACAATTAAAAACTCTTAAAAATATCACATCTTAACTCGAATTAAAAATTTAAATTTACGAAGTTAATAAAATCTTATTCATCTTTAAAATTTCGCTAGTGGGTCCTATTAGGTTGCCTGGTGAGACTTAAACTCCGTTTACTTCGCTGATTCGAGTTTAAAATTTGAGTTTTTCTACAATAAAAAATTCTCACAAACAATCACATCTAACTTTTTTACTACAGTAAAAAATGCCATCAACCGAAAATGTTGCAGACCAACAACTTCCAGGAGCAAAGAAGCACAACAGAGTTTCCAAGAACATTTTACATTGTCAATCAAAAGAAAATGCCAAGTGTTCAAATTGAGTACAAAAAAGAAACTATAATTCAAGCTTGACGTGCAAATGTATCGTTCGCAATAACATCCATCAACAACGATCATTTAGACCCCAATAAATAATAGGAGATTTATTATCCGAGCGTAAATGATACTAAAATTATATAAAAATCAACCAGTATACCAAATCTTAAAAGTTTAAATACAGGCATTAATATTTTTAAGTTACTTTGTTTTTTAAGCGCTTACTGTTGTATGTTGATCCTCCACAAAGCAAAGTAATACCAAAGTCGATAAACCCAAATAGTATTTCAAACTGCCCTAGGTAAGATATAGAGGGTTAATTTTCTTTGGTCCTGCATTAGAACACACAAAAGTATTGTGTGTGTAACAACAGTGTAACACGTCATTTGTTTTATAATTTATATAAGAATGACCTTAACTATGTATACATCATTGTAACTATTGCGTTACACTTATCCTTTTATTAAGATATTACACGTAAATATCATATTTAATTTTTTTTACTACAATTAAAAACTCTTAAAAATATCACATCTTAACTCGAATTAAAAATTTAAATTTACGAAGTTAATAAAATCTTATTCATCTTTAAAATTTCGCTAGTGGGTCCTATTAGGTTGCCTGGTGAGACTTAAACTCCGTTTACTTCGCTGATTCGAGTTTAAAATTTGAGTTTTTCTACAATAAAAAATTCTCACAAACAATCACATCTAACTTTTTTACTACAGTAAAAAATTTTCATATAAAATTACATTTCAACTCGAATTATAAACTCAAATCAGCGTGAACGAGGCCTTAAGCCTCGTTCATTTCACCGATTTGAGTTTTTAATTTTAAGTCTCTACAGTAAAAAAATCTCAGAAAATATCATATTTAACTTATTTTGCTATAGTAAAAAAAATTTTAAAAAATATCACATCTCAACTTAAATTAAACTTAAATATGTGAAGTAAACGAGACCTAATAATTATTTTTTGCAACATAATAATGTAATGGCAATGGAGAGAAAGAGAGATAAAATAGAAGAAGATAGAGGGGCAGCACATGAACAGGCACTGTCTGGGTCAAGTACTCTGCTCACACGGACCCCGAGAAGCTCCATAAAGATGTGATGGATCAGCAAGCATGCTTGCTTACATATATAAACATCTACGGGACCCACAAGTGCCAGAACACTTGTGTGCGTATATATACTCTTAAGATTGACAGGTCGCAGTTTCGTCGTGTCGTATCGCAGTCAGTGTTATATTAGTGTTGTCGTACGTACGGCCAAAAAAATACATATAAATAACCCCGCGCAAGACACGTACGCGCCCACAACTGCCAGCCTTGAAAGTTGAAGAGCCTTGTAACCCTCTAGTCTGTAATCCAACTTACAAAAGTGTCGTTGTTTTACAACAAAATTTAAAAATAATTTAATCAAATTATAATTTTATTTAATTTTATATTTTTTTAATTTTAATTTTATTTAATTTTATTTAAATTATAACTTTAATTCAAGTTATAACTCAAATTCAACTCAAAACTTACACTCAAATCACACTCTAAAATAACATACATAATAACATACATGAGTTTTTCACTAGCTTTCTCATTTATATATACACACAAATTTTGTTTTTTCTTCTGTTGGGCCATATTTTTTTAGCAACTTTTTTGTATGAAAATGCTAATGCTAGCGATAAGAACTTTTCATTTTAGTGGGAACAATTGTTAAGAACTTTCATTCTAGTTGGAACAATTCTGTAACGTGTTACGTGTAATACTAGCAAGTGTAATACTAACAAATCCAGCTGTTAAAATAAATCAATCCAACAACTAAAACAATAATTTCTATTAATAAAATAAAATGACAGTCCAAAAACAACAGTTCTTTTTTTTTTTTTTTACGCGCACTCATTGAGACGTATAACAAACATGAG